TCTCTCTCTCTCTCTCTCTCTCTCTCTCTCTCTCTCTCTCTCTCTCTCTCTGTGATTATGTGTGTAATGGTCACTGTAAGACCAGTGAGAAAGACTGGTGAAACCCAGGAGGGTCTCACTCTTTCACTTTGTAGAGCCCAGGAAAGAAGATTTTTCTTAAAGATGCACCCCAGCCTTGAGTCTTCTTTATAATGCTCACAAAAGGCAAAGGCATTCTCAGAAACTTTGAAGTTTTCAAGGCAAGAAAAGTGTGAGAACCATCTCTGCTCTGAAAATAACGTAGAGGACTTTGGGGTGGTGACCTTTGATCGTGGATCACACCAGTCTTGCTTTTTGCTTTATGGCAAACACCTGGCACATAGTAGGTGTGGTGTCAGTGACTCATAAAGCAACTGAATGAGTATTTTAGAGACTTATCACCGGCACAGCCTAGAAAAGAAAAGTAGGTCATCTCCCATGCGCCTCTGAAGTTTAAGTACAATCATAGTATATTTCCAGGGAAGCCGGGGTTCACACCAGAGTACTCGAAATGCTAGTGAACTTCTGCGTGTTTTCCCTTTCGATCTCAGCACGCTATTGAAAGGAAGCAAAAATACTTTGACAAAGAACCCTGAGCATATTTCTTCATCATAACTCAGCCTTTGCTGCCAACAATGATACATTTCTACTTATTAAACATGTTAAAGAACTCCAAAGATTTTTATTTGGCTTAGGAACACAAACATCAGTTATATTCCAGATAAATTGTATTCCAAGATTTAGCTGACAAAACAACTAACAGAAAAAAAAAATAGAAGCAGGATAAGCCTAGCAGTGTATTTGGTTAACTTGCTGGCAAAAAGAACATTCAGAGGTAAGACCTGGTTTATGTCTCGCTTTTCCGTTTACTGTTTCAAGTCTAAACAGTCATTAACACTATCAATATTTCGCATGATGCTTCCTTCTTTTTCATTTTCCGTTCCCTTCTCAGTCTCCTGGCATGAGAATGGTCTAAGACAAAAACCCTCCACCGCAGACCATCAGGTAACAGTGGGTTAAAGCGCTGCTTGAGTCGTGGGAGAGTTAAGGGCAGTTATTAAAATTTACCTCATCTATAATAGAGGGTAATGTCACTTTAAGACATGTGAGACTTTAGAGAGGAGGGGTGTATTGAAACAGACTCCCGCTCCTCACTGGAGGGACAGCAGCCCTGCTCTTACATTTCGCTGCCTAACTCTGTCCTGAATGTGCCCGAGTGGGGATGGTCTGTCAGTGGCTATAAACTGTTTCTCATCAGGAAACTACATTAGCTCACCATCACTTCAAAGGTCTCCTCAGACAGAGGTGACGCCAGGAGAAGATTTAAAGGTGAAAATGACAAGGTTTCCACCCCTCAAACCCTGGCTCCTTCTCTGACAATACAGCGAACGAACCCAACGTCCTCTTAGCTGTGGAACTAGGATCGGAAGAGGAAAGCTTTTTTTTTCTCTCTCTCTCTCTCTCTTTAATTCTTGATAAAGAACTGCTGGGAAGTGCTGTCTTTGAATATCGCAGAATTGTGGCACAGATGGATTTTAAAAAGTGTTAGCTCTTTCCAATGAACACTAGGAGAGTGCCCTGCTCTTGGCTGGATTTTCCAGGTAAGAAAGCCTCTGCAAAGATTTAAGAATCAGAGCGCAGATTTGAAACATAGTCGGAGAAGTACGTAAAGCTAGATGCATTATTTGGGGGAAAACACTTACTGCCACTGAGCGGAGCAGAGCTCTCGCGGAGAGTGAGTGAGTGAGCGAGCAGGAACAGAGATATCGAGGAGCCTGGGAAGTAATGCTGAGAATTAAAGAAAGTTAACGGGAAAAAGAAAGGAAAGGGGAAGTGCCGCGATTGTCAAATCGGAGCATCTTCCTGCATGCTGAGGTCTATGTGGGTTAAAAATGAGCAGAGCTCCGAAGGACTGTTAAGTTCTGATGATCGCTGGGTTTTTCCTGAGTTAAATTTCCAGTGCATTTTAACAGCGATTGACAACACAGCAAATGCATGCCGGGTCACCTCTGTTTTGTCTTCCTGTAATTTTTCAGGCTATTCTGAGAGACTCTAAAAATGCATTCATTTGGGGATGCACAGAAGGAGGGATGCTATTTATCTGGGCTGATGAGAATGAATCTATGCTATCCTTCTAGTCCAGCAAAGCATGCTGTATACAAAAGTAAACACTGGGCTACCAAACTGGAAACTAATTAGAAAGTGAGAGGTCCATCTGAGTCACTGCCTGGGGCATTGATGGCTCCATGGGGTTGAAAAGAATGCTTCCCCACTTCGCACTTAATTATAATCCTCACGCTTATCTATTGTTATCCTTAAAGCCCTTCTCAAACACTCTGCCTCTCTGAAACCTGTGAATTACCAAGAATTATGCACATACATGTATTTAATGTTTATTTTTGCGGAACATCACTGGTTTAGAAAGAGTACCAATTTCCACAGATAAGGGAGGCATTCTGGGAGGTCACATCAGGGTTTCGATATATAGCGGAATTTCTTGAAGGGTGTCATTTGAAAGAGGAAATCACAGCCTTGCCTGCATAGCCCTCTTTGAGCTCCCTAAGAGAAAGGCATGTTGCTAACTGAATTCTTGTATAGGAGATGCCTCCTATCACAGGCTGACTAAGGAAGATGCTTCAAGTTTGATTAATTTGGCAATATGAAACGCAGCATAAGGTGTTGTTTGGGAAATTGGACAATATGTAGCGCCGTTGAGCTTCTGTAGCTCCTGAGACGCTCATCGGTGCAGATAAGACTCTCAAAGTTTCGGCGCCTGAAAAAAGGTATATGCTCACCCATAAATACACACACCACCTGTATATGCATATTCATCAGTGCTCCAGCAAATGCCACAATGGGATCTTAGGAGGCAAAACAATACTGTAAATTATGGGCTTGCTGTAGGATAGATGCATAGACCTTGCATCCGAAACTCATTCTGGCTGAAAACACGGCTCCTTCTGATTCCAAGTCCAGTCAGAAAGCTGAGTTCTATCGGGAGATTACAACATGCCTCTGAGAAATGATTGCTTAGTTTAGAGGACAGCATTGCCATTAAAAATTCATGACTGTAGAATTAAAGGGGAAAAAAAAGAGCCCACTCTTTTTCTTCCAGGCTTATGTCAGACTTGCAATGAAGTTAGAATGAGCAAGTCTGCAGCTTCCGAATGTCTGGGGAAAGTAGTTTGCAGCTCTTTGTGTAAAACTGGGTGTTTTCATGGGCATGCAATGTTTTCATCTGCCGGATGGATAGTCAAAAACTTTAATTTTGCGTTTTGGGCAATCATTGGCCTCTTGCTTTCCAGATGTTAAGGGACATATTTATGAGCTTCTGGAAAGGGTCTTCAATCCAGTCCCTGGCATGACCTCTGCTGGAACGCTCCTTCTAGGCTGCCAAGGAGCCAAAGAACATTCCGTCTGATATCTCCCTTCCCTCCTGAGTGGGACGTACTCCACTGGGGGCTGCAAGTCAGGGGTAACCTGTTCTCATCTCATGTCCTCTCTAGAGAATGGCAATGGTCTCTGCGATGTCCTGGGTCCTGTACTTGTGGATAAGTGCTTGCGCCATGCTGCTCTGCCATGGATCCCTCCAGCACACCTTCCAGCAGCATCACCTGCACAGACCAGGTAGTGTGTGTGTGTGTGTGGGGGGTGTCTGGGAGGGGGCTTGCTCCAGAGCAGGCTGCTCCAGGTTCATCGTGGTCTCTTCAACAGATGGTGGAATGCAAGTGACAGAAATTGCTATAGTGTGGGCAGTTTGCCTTTGAAATCTAAGACATGATGTAGGCTGGATGCTCTGGGGGATGGAGAGTACACCAAAAATGTCTTGGAGGTATTTCTGTTATTTTTTTCAGAAAAGGTGGGTTTCTTTAAAGGAGTCGACCCCCTCTCCCGCGCCCCTACTAGCATCTTCCACACACCTTGTTAGCAAAATATTCTACAAAGGGTGGAGTAACTTTGAAGACTGGGGGATTTAGAGAGAAGGCATGTATTTCTTGGGTTGAGTTTATACCTAGTATAGATGCTGTCATTTCTGTCTGGGGCTAAGGACTCCAGGGATGTGTTAATGACCAGACTAACTTTACAAGTTGTCAATGAAAAAGAAAATGAAACAGTGACTTACTATGCCGTGTCTGGTTTAATTTGTATCCAGTCTTCTCTCCTTTCCTTCCTTCTCCTTTGGTTCCTCCTGTATGCTCGGCGCCCCCACCCCTTTTTTCCTCCCTCTGTTGGTAGTTTCAGGAACAAGTTCGCTCTGCCATGTGTTTTGAAAATTTCCTTTATTGATTTCCCTTTTCTTTTAGTTCCGGGTGCAGTTTGCTTTCTTTGGCTTCTAACTCTTTTCTCTCTCAGCTCTTCAATCCTGATTTTCCTTTCTTTGCTGCTCCAGCTTTCTCATACAAAATCGCCCCCAGTTCAAATGTCCCTAATTGGTTCTCAGAAAGGTGTCCTTCGGTCCTTGTCACCACCACCCTTACCCCCCACCCCTGTAGCTGTGTTTAGCCTTTGTGTCCTTTCGGCCACACCCCCTACCTTCACTGTCCTTGGGAGCCCCCTGGAATGGTCAAGTTCACCGTGCGGGGACCAGTTGCTGTCCCAAGTTCCAGCTCCTCATTTCTGGAGCTCAGCCGCCCTCCCTCCCGGATCTGCTTGTATACTTCCCTGGCCTCCTGCCATCCACAGGCTTCTCAGTGCAGCAGGTCCTAGTCCGGAGTGACAACGCTGTCTTTCCTGACTCCGCAGCAGCCTTGACTGTGATCCTGCACTCTTATTTTGGCCTTCTCCAGTCTCTCTCCCGGTGCCTTTTGCTGTCTCCCGGGGTTCAGCTTCCAGGCTAGGGCAGACTAGATAGAGCCGGAAGGATGCATGCCAGCGCACGCCTGCTGGGTCTGCAGCCCTCAGCTGCAGAGGAGGGCTGGGGGCGGTGGAGGCCAGCTGTCCCGGGTCCTAGCCGCCTTCCTTCCTTTCTCCCATAAGCCAGGTCAGCGAGGGAGCGAGGGGGCGCTGGTGCCCCTGCGGGTGGGCATGGAAACCACGCTGCTGGTTGCTGCCGCTGGTGCTTCTTGCCTGTGTTTACTGTGTCCTGTATGCAGACCCTGGCACAGGAAGTGCCAGGTTCCTGCCAGAAGCCTCAGTGCCAACATGGAGGAAGCACAATCGTGGATTTGGGGATCCCTGAGCTACCTCCAACCACTTAATCGCCAATCTGTTCTGGCAAGAAAAGTCCTCTGCTTGTTACATAGTTATATAAATAAGCTGGGAAATTTTTCTCTGTAATGCTCAACAATGAGATTAAAAAAACCATCCATCCCGAAAGTGCCAGAGAATGTGTTCAGGGTTAATTCATACTGTTAGTTTAACCACTGTGTAAGTGGATATAGTTTACCCCTTTCGTCCAGAGAACATAAGTGGGAGTTTGGAGGTACTGGGTGATAGTCTGAAGCCACCCAAAGAATGGTTGCCGATGGAGGTTATGGCCATGTGATTTTACCACAAGAGGGGGAAATGTCCCCTAGTACGCAAATTGTCTATGCCAAGTTTAGGAGCATTGGCTATAATGTATGAAAACTTTAAGGTCAGATCAGTGCACACACCCCTTTAAACTGCAATCCAGTCCTTGGAGGTGGCTGAAGCAAGTGGTCCGTGGTGGGGGACAGGGGACTAGTGGTGGGGCAAGTCTCTGTCACTTAACTTTCCTGACATGAACTTGGATAAGTGACTTTCCAAATCTGAACGAATTTCCCCATCAGGGGATGGGGGAGGGAATGGGAGGGAATGACTTCCTAGGAAGTGGCAAGTGCTGGGTATATTGTGAACTTCCTATAAATATCAAGTACAGTCGCGTCCTGTTTAAGGGACTGCAGCCACCTACAAGTCAAGGGTATTGAGTGAGTCAAATTTTCCTGTTTGCACTGCTAACAGATCCATTGGTCAGGACAAAGTTTTGTTGCCTTTGTTGTTTACTAAGCCATGTGATACATGGCTAGGACCTGCCAGTGATTGCCACCTCTCTTACTTTATGTTATGTGTGTAGTCATTAAACAAAAAGAAGCTCATATAATCTGTAGTGAACTCTTTTGTAGAGCATGTCTATTTGCTTCTGGAAACTGGGACTATTATGTGTATCAACTGTGTATCCTCGTAGGTCTTATTAAAATACCATATTTTAAAACTTGATTCTGACTGAAATTCAACTCACTGCTGGTGTTCTTCCTCATCTACCACGGAGCTTGCTCACTATCAGTCAATCTGTGTTGAAACTATACCTTAAATATCTCCGGGAACTTTGTTCCCAGCAACTCGGCCCCATGGGCTCACTCTCTGAGCCCTATCCCAGTCTTATTGTAGAAAAGGAGGAACTATAAATGCTTCTTCCAAATGCAGAGGGATTAAAATACTGTTGATTTGGAAGTCCGATGGGTCTGTGTAATGTGCCTGTTTAACTTTCTTAGGATCGCTACAATAGCTGCGGAGATTAAAGCAATAGATCTTGGTCATTGCAGTCTTCCAAATTATTGCAGTCACTCTTTAATGTGTTTTTTTTTTTGTTTTGTTTTGATTTTAAGAGCAAAAATGTGCTTCTTTTTTTTTCTCCCTCTCAGATAAGTGTTGTGGCATTTTTCCTTTGTGGGTCTTAAATTTTCAGGGACACTAATGAAATGTGTGTGAAAACAAAACAAACAAACAAAAACCCAGGGCCAGTTATCTGTGACAATCTGCCCCTCAATGCGCAAATAAATAAATAAACGGTTGGATAAATGAGCAAAAAAGGGATGGCGTAATTTCATTCCCTCAAATCAGTGAAAATAGGTGACATGATGAGAAAAAATGAGGCAGCAGCGGACCCCAGCCTTGCTACATTTGCCTAAGCTTGAAAAATCACCTCCTTCACAAGGCAGAGCAGAGCAGTGTACTTGGCGTGCATGCCAAGCATGTGGGAATGTGCAAAATGACAAACCTTTCATTAGGCGTGTGTGTGTATGTATGTATGTATGTGTGTATGTATGTATGTATGTATGTATGTATGTGAGAGGGGACTCTACAGTCACCCTCGCCTGCTTAGGAATGGCATCCACTCCCCCTTAGGCCAGTCCCTCACAGGCAGCTTCCCCGTCCCCTCCACAGCAAGATTGATGGTGTTCCGATTGCAAGCAAGCAATTTCAGTCTCTCAAGAAATAATCCACTACACTGACAGATGAGCGGAATTTGACAGCCGCTCCCCTTGTTGAGATTGTGCCTCACCTGGATGGCACCAGCCAGCCAAGGCCCGTTAGGGGAAATGGTTAGAGATTTGGGCCAATTTCTGCTGTCATAACGTGAAATTGGGATAGTGTTTTTGTAAGGCCATGCATTTGTGATCTGCCTCCTCAACAGAGTGGGTTTGTGCACAAACAGAATGAGAATATGTTAACTAGAAAACGGACTGATTTTAATGTATTCGCCTGCAGCCCCTAAGTACTTCCTATTTTTCATATTTATAGTATGAAGATTGCACCATTTATTTTCACTTACTCACTAGTTAAGGAAGATTAAAACAGTCAATCAAATGAAACTGAAATTTAAAATTACATAAGTGAATAAAATGTGCTGTAGATTAACAGATTCACAATTTCAGTAATTGAAATATTGGAATAATTTTTATTTGGGGAATGATGTACGAAGTTACTATGACAACTTGGAAAATATTTGTACCCCTTCCTAATATGAAGCCTTTGGAAGGACAGTTAATTTAAAAACAAAACAAAAACCCAGACTCCACAATGAAAACTCAGATGTAGCATCTCTTTGGTGTCCAGTAATTAAGACAGCCTAAGTTCTTCACACTCAACAGTGTGCATGCTGGAGAAAAAGGAAAAAATGGTCTGCCAAATGTAGCCTTCCAGTTTAAGATTATGTTTACCCCTGATACAGATATATGAATTATGATGACAATTTTAATGCTTCCTTTGTTTGGAATATGTGGGTGGAAGTGGGTATGTGTGTGGGTGTGTGTGTCTTTGCAACAATAAAATAAGAGTCTTCTCAAAATTCTTCAGAAAGAAAATAGGTCCCTGGGATTCTTTAGTAAAATAAAATTATGTATCTGTGGATTACATGAGACACAAGTTATTAGTAAACAATGAATCATTTGTTCTTCAGTCAACGTGATTTCATTGACGTTGGAATGATATATAAAAGCTTGCTCTGCAGAGAACATCTATGTAATTCATACTTGACAAGATTTAAGGCTGTATTTAAGCAGACTGTGTGTGTTAGGAGTTCATTTATGACTCATTTATGACTTTATTATATAGTGAACATCAGCATCCATTTTAACATGAAGATTTGGGGTAAATCATTAAAAATTTGTACGAACCTTACACATTTTTTTTTTTACTCTACCATTCCAAACTACATTTTAGAAAACTGCCTGGCACATATGTTTCAGATGCCAAGGTGCTTTTCCAAAAAGGATTGTGTTGTGGGTTTAGAGTGTAAAAACTCGTGGGTACAACCGTGGCTGCACATTTTCCTTTCGGGAATGCCTACCAGCTTGAAGCTGCTAAGTAGAGTGGATTGGCGTTAGGATTGGAGCAGACAGGCAGTTATTTGGTGTAAGCTGGGTCTAGTGATAATGCATTGATCA